TTAGAGGAGGGAGTTCTTCAACCCTTTGTGCTTCCTGGGTAAGGCAACGCCCCACCCTGCTTCTGCTCACCCTAAATGGGCTGCACCCACTGTCTAACCAGTCCCAATGAGATGAGCCGTGTACCTCAGTTGGAAATGCAGAAATCACCTGCCTTCTGTATTGATCTCACTGAGAGCTGCAGACTGCAGCTCTATTTAGCCATCTTGCCAGTCACTGTCTATGATAGTTTGCCTAGCACAGTTTCTTTAGCTGATTGTAACACAATCTGGTATGTGTTCTTTGTGTTTCCTTTGATCATTACCTTCTTTTCTTGCAGTATCTTTGTAGAGTTCTTCTGATGGTTTCTGTTTGATTCTGGCTCGTATTTGGCTGAGATAAGCTCTTTCTTAACCAGTTATTTTGCAGAAAAAGGAAGGCGTGAAGGGCCAGCCTATAGTGTCAACGAGTAGCATCTCTCTAGTTTATAGGGATGTGCCTGACAACACACAAGGTTGTGTGTATGGATATGTGTATGTGTTGATTTAGCGTTTACCTTTTTCCAGAAAAAAAAAAAGAGACTGGCAGTTGCCAAGACCAATTCATGTGGAACCTATCTTCTCTAACCTTCCTTCCTAACAGACAAACTTAAATAGAATTTTTAAGTGTTCTCTTATTTATACCACGTCCCTTTTCTTAATGGAAGAGTCCAGCGATGCTTTCACAGGCAGCCCATTCACCTTAGACCAGTTGTCTCCACAAAAGACGGTGTTGGGTCTGCCCTCTTTGGCAAACTCTGTGCTCTGCGAGCTTTGCTTGAGGTCTTTGGCAGCAGACATCTTTCAGCATCTACCTGCCCTAGGTTGGAACTTTGCTGCTTTTGGCAGCCCTTCCTCAACAAAGGTGAGGTTTGCATTTCTGTTTCTTCTTCTTATTTTTGTCTTGGAGCAAATTCAAAAGGAAGTGAGCAGAGCTATCTTAACAACACTGTCTTAAAAGTAAAGCTCTTTTTAAAAGGTTATGTATCCCAATTTTGCCTCGCCTAAATCTCTAGCACCTAATGCTATATCTGACAAAGAGAAAATGCTCAGTTAATGTTTGTTAATATTAATAACTAATAATAAAATGAATAAAAGAATGAACAAACAATTCTCAAATGTAATAATTGAGATATAACTGTATTTCAGGCCTGTCTTCAAAAGAACTTTAACAACAAATTCTCCTTGATCTTCCTTGCAACAGCATAATAAAGCATACTTCCCAGGGCTTGTCATGGCTCTGACATCTCCTGCCTACTTTTTTCTCAACCTTTGTTACGTCTTCTCAGCATACTGTTCTCACTCACTCTCTGTGCCAAGTCAGAGCACCTAGCACACAGGAAATAGTGAATTCTACAGGAAGACTCTATATAGTCGGTTTTTCTTTTCCTAGTCTGGTATCTAGCCTCAATTTTTATGGATGCATTTTGAATTTGTTTCTCTTTGGCTTGCTTCTAAAATTGGAAAAGCTCTATATCTGCTTTGCCATAAATCTTCAGAAAATCAAAGGCTTAATGATGCTGTTTTACCCCTGTTTGGGTAAGGAATGGAAATAATCACATTACCCACAGCACTAGGCCTCTGAGCCCCCAAAGTTCTGGACTCTGTCCAGATGTGGCCAGGGAGGAAGGATCCTTTGGGAAATGGAACGTTGCAAGACATGAACATTTATTGCACCCCTCGTAAATTCCATGGGGGTCTTCATCATGGGTGTGGAAGAGTGGATGGCTTTCTCCGAGAAAGGATCTGCATGGTTCAGTAAGCAGGGCTAGCAGAGTCCAGGTTTCTCTCTGGTTTCCATTTCAAAAGAAAGGGAGCCTTTGACTTAAGGAAGCTACCCGTAAGTCCCCCCAAAACAAAAAGTATGTCTCAGACTATTCTTATGCCTTCCATATGAAGATATGATAGGTTTTGAGAAGTATATGTGCTCATTTCTGATTTGCATGAGTCTACAAGTAACAAACACCAAAAACTTTGCTCTCTGCCCAAAATATTTCAGTGTCTAATCCCAGACAAGATTCTTCATTTCTTTTAGAGATCATCAATGGATTCTTTTCTTTCTTTTCTTTCTTCACCTTGAGTTTCCAGACCTCTTCAAAATGCTCATGTCCTATACTCTGTACTCTTCTCACTGCTGAGCTGAAGGCAATAGGCTGCCCACACCTGCCTGTGCCTGTCTCTTCAGAGTGTTCATGCCTACCTGGATATCAACACTAAGATAGGTAGGACAACAGGAAAGGGAAGGCCCAAGGGATGCATGCCTGTAGTCTACATTAGTGTTCTCACCAGGAATACAATGACCAGTCATCTCTGCCCACAGCCAGGTACATCAGTGCTCTTTCTTCCAAACAAACACACATTGAGATTACGCAGCCCACATAACCAGAGCAGAGCTGCCCTTACATGCCTGAAAACTCATGCCCACTGCCACCTTCCCCCTCCCCTGAGGGTCTGCATGGGCTTTCATTAGGGGCACCAAGCATCTTGGCTTGCCAGGAACAGTCCCAACTAATGTCTGGTGTCCTGTCCAGAGAAACATTTGTCCCAGTCAAAAGTAATTTTTCTAATAGTAAATTATGTGTTCTCTCTAATTTAATGTTTAATTTTTAAAAAGCAGCATGAGTCAGAATGCTTCTGGTTATAACAAAAGTTCTTTTCTTCTTCCCAGTTTATATATATATACACACACAAACACACACACACACACACACATTAGGACTCACTAAGAAAATGAGGCAGGCAGAGAGACCTGAAGTCCGGGTACACAAAAGACCTGGGGCAGATGATTGATAAAGTTTAAAAAGTAAGCACTGGCAGAGTTGTCAGATGGGCTAAGAGAAGTTTTGTGTGAGGCTTGAGGGAGGAACCAATCCCCAAAATTAGGAGGACGCAGGATTCCAGGATCAGGGGAAATGTTTCGCAATAATACAATCCCCAGGCCAGGTTTTGGAGGACAGGCATTTTATGTGTCTCTCTCCCCTCTCTCCTCCCTCTTTGTGCCTGCATATTCTAGCCAATAATGCACCAGTGATTTTTCTCTGTTATTTCATTTATGGCAATGACTTCAGGTCTTGTGTCTGGTCATAATGGTGATCTATGTATGCCATCTACACTGGGCATGGCTAATGAATCCTATTTTATTTCTTAATTAAGAATTTGAAAGTGCCGCAAATTACTGCAATTAACATGGATTTTCTTCCTCATTTATTTACTTATTTAGATGCCTGAAATTGCACCCTTAGCTTAAACCAACCGCAGAGTTCAGAGCTTGTTAAAATATATAGCATTCATTAAAATATTTACTCTTCCCCAACAGTAAGGGTTGCAATTTGCAAATGGTGGTGGTATCTATGTATACAAAATGCTTCCAAAAAATCTATTGAATTCAGTTTATCCAGCTTAGTAATTTAAAAAGTTGAATTTATTGATAATGCTTTGTGCAACTGAAAAAGAACTTAGGATTTTCAAACTAGCCTGTTGTTATGTTGACTTCAACCAGGGAAATTGTTGGTTTCCCTTTCGAAGTTCATGAAGACTATGAGTGTCGCCACATTTTCAGGACTTCTGTGTGCATTGAAAGAGAAGAATAACAATTTGAGGGTGGTTGAATTTATCAGACTTATTTCAAAACAATGGTACTTTGAAAATTACTTAGTTTCAAATTTATCTCATAGTTTTCAAGATTCAAACTTAGTTTTCTTTCCTGGGTTCTTGTTTGGAGCTTTGGTTTTGATTTCTAACTGGTTTTCATGGAGACAGCTCAAGATACAGTAGTTAAAATTAACCAAAAACACACTTCAAACTACAGCCAGCAGGAGTGTAAATGAATACAATCCTACCAGAAAGTGATTGGGGAATAGCATATCAAAAGCTTTGAAAACTGTATACCCATTGAAAGCCAGCTGTTCTACTTCAAGGAATTTATCCTTAGGAAAGAAGAATGTGTACCAATGTTTAAGTACAATAATATTCCTGCAGCCCTGTTTATAATAGCAAAACAAAATAACCAAAACGTGCAGCAACAAAAGATTGAGTAAATTATCATACAGACATATTAAAATATGAAGCAGCTATTAAAAATTATGTGATTTGTATCAGTTATCTATGGCTGTTTTACACCAAAACTTAGCAGCTTAGAACAACAAATTTATTGTCTCACAGTTTGTGAGGGTCTGGAATCTGGGCTTGGCTTAACTCCATCCTCTGACTCAGATCTCTCACAAGGCTACACTGAAGGTATTTGCTGGAGCTACAATCCCCTCAAGGCTTAACATGGAGAGGATTCACTCTCAAGTTCATTCAAGTGATTGTTGGCAGGATTCAGCTCCTCCTGGGCTGGTCTCCCTTAGCTCCTTGACATGGGCATTTCTGTAGGGCAGGCAGTTTGTGACATGGCAGTTGGCTCCATTGCAGAAAGCAAGCCAGAGAATAAGAGAGGGTGAGCAAGAAGACAGAGTATTTTTGTAACCTAATCTCAGAAATGATATCCCAACAATACTGCAATATTCTATTTGTTAGATGTAAGTCAAAGGTTCAGCCCACACTCGAGTGGAGGGGATCACATAGTTACACAATGGTGAGAACACAAGGGGGTGGTGATCAAAGGGAATCGTCTTAGAACCTTTCTACCACAGAGTTGAAGTTTATTTGCTGGCAAAGAATATTAATTAATATCTTACTCAATGAAAGAAAAGGTCAAAAAACACCATGGACAATAGGATCCCTGTTTTGTAAACTAAAACCAATAGAAAATATATATGCAAATATAAATAAATATTCATGAAACACTGGGTTAACAGTAGTTGTATCTAGATGGCGGGATAACAGATGAGTTTTATGTCCTATTCCCTAATTTTTATTTTCTTTTTTTTTGTAAGAGGAACATGTGTTGTTTATAATTTTTAAAAGAGTAAATATTATTACATTTTCAAAAAGCAATTTAAACACTAAAGACTTCTTGATTCTGACCTCCACTCTCTTTACAGGGTTGTTTCTTGCTTACTACTTGCAGTCGACTAAGTAGAGGTTCATAAGACCTTTATAGAACCACTGATACCACTGTGACCAAGAAAACTGTGAGTATGTTCTAGAACTTGTTTCTTTGTTTGTGTCTTCAAAACAGCTGCTATCAGCAATAATTAAACCATAAAAAACTGAAATTATTTTTCCCTCTGGGGTGATTATAACCACATGGGAGCTGTGATGAGAGGTAGGTCCTGTGAAGAGCTCCTCCTTAAGTCTTCCCCACTCCATTCTGGTTGCTTCCAGACAAGTGGTAACAATAATCACATGCCCATCTCCTCTTAAAAATTTAAAAGGGATAGGTTCTATTTATATGTCAAAAATAGATGAACAGATCTGACACTGCTGAACATAATTGCAAATCTGAAAATGGAGGGAATGGGTGAGAGAAAAGATAAAGTCATTAATAGCCTCCATATTTCATTAGTTTCCCTGCCTCATGCCATCAGGGGCGTCTGAGTTGGGATGCCACTGATTTGGGGTTGGAATGATTTCCCCAGCAATGTAAAGTTTATCTTAAGGTCACTTGCTGATAGAAACTACTGTTTTGCCAGGCATCGATTTATTGGTTGTTTGACAAGCAGACCAGCTGTTCTATACCTACACAGAACACAAAGAAAGCTGCTCAAGATGGATGCGCTGGCATCAGTGGGAGAGGAGGGTAACAGCCTCAAAGATAGCAGAGAATTAGGATTAGGTCTTAAATACTGGTGGATCTCTTTTCATTGGGATCTATAATGGAATAGCTGTTGTAATAGATAATATTCAAACTTTGGTGGCTTCACAAAACAGATCATTTTTCACTCATATAATAGCCAAAAGAGTTTTTGTCCAAGCGATGGTCTGTGGTTTGTCCATCTTCTAGGTCTGTGGTTTCTCCATTTTCTAGGGCCTCTGAGTTGCATGTTTGGTCCTCTGTATCTAGCTGGGTTGATTGGGAAGGAGAAAATGAAGATGACACCCCCACTTCGTACCCACCTTGGCCTAAAATTGGCACACATCACTTTCATTCATACCTCACTGGTGAAAACTAATCATATGGGCCTCTCCTTGATGAAAGAGGCCTTGAGGTAGTCTCTGGCTGGTAGTTACTTCCCCACAATTCCACCATGCAGAAGGGTAGCACACACCATGGGCGCCGTCAGGAAAGATCATAGCATTAGAACCTTCTTGCTGTGAGGAAATTTTTACTGGCATTCATATATACCTCACAGAGCAGGGATTAGTTAACTTATCAATGACTCTTTGAATGATCAATTTTTCTTCCCTATATGGAGGAACTTCTAATGCCAGCTATATGCCCTTCTCATGGTTAAGGCAATAAGCCACTGGCAACAAGGTCCTACAGATTCTAGGTTTCAAGGTTGTTCTCCACTGGAAGTGGTAGGTGTGCCTGCCAGTGCTGGAAGTCAGCAGAACTCACTGGGGTCTCAAGATACTAACTTTCAATCAATCAATCAATCAATCAATCTCTCTCTCTCTCTCTCTCTCTGCTTTAGTTTTTTTATTTCTTGGCTGGTTGGCTGTTTTTTTCTTTTTTTGAGTGTGTGTATATGTGTAATGACAATAATAAGGTACGCCTCTTGGGCTTGTTTTAAAGTCCCAAGGAGATAATTTAAGAAAGAGTACAATACACATTATCTCAACACATAGGTGGCTTTTCCAGCAAGTAGCCACATATGTAAATAAGCCCAGAAGTGCCTTACCAACACTACCACAATTGCTGTTTCTTATAATATCATTGTTATTAATAGGCTACTATTATGATGATTAGCACTACTGCCAAAGATAAAATCATAACATCTCTTCTATAGTGCTTCAGCATTTATTTACTTGATTCTCATGACAACCTTGTATAGTGAAAAGGAGACTTTCTGTGATCACATCTATTTCATAGATGAAAGAACTGGCCCTCAGGGAGGTCAAGGGATAATGACCATGATGATCACATGATAGCCCAGTCAAAGTGGCCACTTGGTTCTCAAACCCTGGCCTTTTAAGTCAAAATTGTATTACCACACCAAATGTAAAATGGCATCTTACCAAAATAAATGGAATCTTTGAAGAGACTTAGTCTCATTTCCTCATTGTTCAGATGATTTGGGATACCTGGGAAGATTATTCTTTTTTATTCCACTACATGCTACTGACCTCAGGTCATCTTACTTTTTTCAAGGCTGATCAGCCTAATTGCACCTGGGTTGGTGAGGAGTAGCAAATAGTGTTAATGTTGGTGATGTCAGTTTACAGAGGCCATAATGTAGAGGGTTCTTGGAAATTTCTCCAAGGAATGTGAGTGGGGCCCCAAGAGGGAAGAAAATGGGTGCCCTCCAGTTTGGTATGTTTGGAAACAACACTGTGTGACCAGCATCACAAACCCTAGTAGGCAGGTGACAGTCTGAAATCAACTTCTTGGTTTCTTAAAGTGTTTTCTTCCCTTCAACTCTTTGGCCTTTTCCTAGCTAACTTTAGTGAATAATTATCCAGTGACTTTATTTTTTCCTACTGAGTGCAAAAAGAACTGTTACAGTGGCTCTAGGTTTGCAGTGTAAAGTCTTTGGAGACTGTGTTTGACCCTGTGTTGGGTGACTCCAACTACCAGCAGCAATGAGCTATAGTCAACATAGACCTCAACATGGAGACCAGCCCCCAGCCCCAGACCTGCCATTGGCTGCTGTGATGACACAAGTTTAATTCGGACTCCGAGGAAGCCATGTTTTTCTCAGCTGTCAAATCAAGTGGATGATGTTCACCCTCTCTACTTCCCCCACTTTCTCAGAGAAATACTGAGAACTTGGGGCTCAAACCAGTGAGTAGACAGAAAGTGCTTTATAAAGCATACCATCTAGATAAGTGTGGAAGAGAGTCATCATTAGAATTCTGCTACTGCCATTATTGTTTTAGGGTCAGCTCAGCTTTTCTTAACACAGAGCAGTTAATGGAGTGGCAACTGTATTAGATACCCACTGGGAAGGCAAAGGAGCCAGATGAGGGTTTCCTTTTATCCCATTTTAGCATCCTGTTTTCCTTTCACAACAGCTGTGTCTTGCGGGTTTATAAGTATTTTAATTATAGTGGCATTTTATTATACCTTCTCCTGACAAAATTCAGGCTAGGGACTTTTTTTTTTTAATCTGAAAAATGGTGGATTTTCCTAGAGGCTGAGTTAACTTTCGTCAGCAGTCAGAATGCTGCTACCTTTGATCCCACTTATAAAGCATGGTAGCTACCACTTTTCACTAATTATTTTTAGCATAACCAAAAAATAAAAATGTATTTGCAGGTCCACTAGCAAAAAGAAAAGTGACAAAATCTATTAGCCATCCAGCTTTGTTTCATAAATTGGTCACCAACTGAGAAGCATTTCTCCCATGGCCATCAGGAGTTACGGAATAGAAAATTTAGATACCAACATAAAGACTGACCAGAAGAGTTAGACAGACAAAGAAGAGGAGTATCTCACTCCTCATCCTGGTGTATGGCCATTCGGTTGCTTCCTGCAGCATCTCAAGTAGGTTTTCCCAGCATAATCATCAAAAAGACAAGTAAACACTGCCTTGCTAGAAGAAAAAAATAAATGTTGCAAAGTAGGTAATCCATACAGTTAGAATGAAAAATGTCAGGTTGAAAAAGGCTTTGCAGCATGTAGTCTAAAACTGTCATTTTACAGGTGAGAAAATTAAGGCTCAGATCAGTGAAGGGCATGTCCAAGATCATGCAAAACAGCAAGTATTAAGATGACTCCTAAGGGACTGTATCAGTTTCCTATTGCTGCTATAATGAATTACTGCAAACTTTAGTGGCTTAAAGCAACACAGATTCATTGTTTTACATACAGTTCTGTAGGTCAGAGGTCTGACAAGGGTCACACTGGACTAAAATCAAGGTATCAGCAATGCTAGGTTTCTTTCTGGAGACTCCAAAAAGAATCTATTTCCTTGCCCTTTCCAGCTTCTAGAGGTTGCCTGCATTCCTTGGCTGATGGCTCCTTCCTCCATCTTCGAAGGCAGCAACATTGCATCTCCCTGACCATTCTTCTGTAGTCCATCTCTGGCCACAGCCAAGAAAGGTTTTCCACTTTTAAGGACTCATATGATAAGGCTGGATCCACCTGAATGATGCAGAATAATCTCCCTATCTTGAGTTCAATGACTTCTAATTACATCCGCAAAGTCCCTCTTGCCATATAAGGCAATATATTTGCAAGTTCCTGGGGATTAGGGCACAGGCATCTTTGAGTGGAGGTGGACATTATTCTGCCTACCCTGGGGAGGAAAGATGGCGAGTCAGTAGAGAGTTGGTTGGTTAAACAAGGAAACAGTTGTGGATACCTGTTGCAGGTTGGGGTCCCCAAGCATCAGACTCTGAGATGAAGGTGGGTGTGTTGGAAAAAAGAGGGCTTTTGGGATCAGCCACTGCAGAGGAGCGGAATTAAAAGAGGCAGAATAGGCAAAAGGAGGAGCTGGACTTTCGGCTCATCACAAGGTCCGGCTGACCCCATGGGGTTCCCTAAAATGGGATGGCCTCTCAGAGTTATCCAGAGGGGCTGAGACTTTAAACTCTTTCTCTGATTGCTATGACCACATCAAGCAGTCACAGGATACGGGCTGCCCTGTGTATGTGTGTTGGGGAGAATTGCTGGTATAACTAAGTCAGCTTTCTTCTGACAGGGTCAGCTCCCAATAGCTAGGGTAATATGTCCTTCAGTCATGAAAGATGATTTAAGCAAATAATCACAACTACTGCTTGAATACCTGTACCTAAGCTTCACTTTTACATGCGAAGAAAATAAAACATCAGTTGTAGTCTGGCATGAAACCTGATTATAAAGTGGTCCTAGACTCAGAACTTAGGAATCAGAAGGAAAAGAATCATGTGTTTCATCTACAGTGTAAGGAGAAATGAGGTATGACCTTGAAGGAGAGTGGAATCTTGGAGGATGTATGAACACGGGAGCAAGAGCAGGCAGGGATAATGTGAGCATGGCAGAATGAGATTGAAAAAACAGGCAGATCGTAAGGTCTGAGGACTAAGATCCAAACCAACATCCAAATCCAGGGTTCTGCCCAAACAACAGCAAAGAAGTGGCATTGGCAGAGGCTAAGGGCAGGGCAGGGCAGGGCAGGGCAGGTCATGTCATCCTGATACTGGCTTAGAAGGATTCCAGCAACTTTCAGCAGGTACTGGTGGTCAAAAGAGTAGAGTTTATGGTCAGCCATGGAAGTGACTGAAGAACAGGTAAGAAATCTTATTTCAACAGAACTGAGGAAAGGGTAAGAACTTCGTGGGGAAAAGGGCATTCTTTGTTACAGTAAGCAGGTGTACTACAGCTTTGCGTCATCTGGCCCATGAATGTCATTGGCTCAAGCCCAAGTCTGATCCTGGTGCAGGAAATGAAGATGCTCTGGTCACCTGAGTAGCAAGGGTTAAAAACATTAAGGGGCTGGGAAGGCAAAACCATCTGCTCACTCCAGGGGAAATGCTCTCACATTACATCAGGGCTGACCTCATTGTTCATTCTAACTGAATGGTATCCACACTCAGCAAGGAAGGTACAAAGACTGATTTGTTCCCACCCTTTAGTCCCCAAGTTCTCACTCCCTCGGGTCACTGGTGAGCCAGCACTGCATAAGGATCGTTCTTCCTGTTTGTCCAGATGGACAAGACGAACTCCCCAGCCACCTCCACTTTTCCACACATCCAGGCTGCAAAGCCTAAAGGAAATAGTATTCTTAAAAAATATTTCCTGCATCTTCTAGAAGACTGTGAAGACGTTGCACTGGGCCAACCATACTTGTAGACAAAAATGGTTTTGATTATCCTACATGGTTCAATTCAAGTGGTGAGAAACATCATTGCCTTTCTTTAAGTCCTTTCTACATGCAAATGTCAGCAACAACATTCGTAATAATGCCTCATGATTCTTATAGGGCTTCACATTTTACGTAACTCTTAACCTGTACTAAATCTCTTGAATTTCACAATGCTACTTATAATCCCAGCACTTTGGGAGGCTGAGGCCAGCAGATCATTCAAGGTGAGGAGTTCAAGACCAGCCTGGCCAACATGGGGAAAACCTGTCTCTACTTAAAATACAAAAATTATCTAGTTGTGATGGTGTGCTCCTGTGGTCTCAGCTATTTGGGAGGCCGAGGCATGAGAATTGCTTGAATCCAGGAGGTGGACATTGCAGTGAGCCAAGATTATACCACTGCACTCCCGCCTGGGCGACAGAGCAAGACTCTGTCTCAAAAAACAGAAAAAAACAAAAACAAAAAAACAAACAAAATAAAACAAACAAACAAAAAACAATACTACTTGGGAGATAATTATTAATACTCTTCTTAAAGGTGAAGAAATGGACATTCAAAGAGTTTAAGTGCCTTACATTAAGTCACGAAGAGAGAGTCCGAAATGGGACCCAGGGCATATAAATCCCAGCTGTCCCCAGCACATCATCATGATAATTCTACCCTGAACAGAAGACCTTTGCATCTCACAACACTGGAAGTTTGACAGAAAGGAGTGTCACAAAGGGTAGAAAAAGCTGGGGGAGAAATAATCTGAATTTCACATTTTGTCTCAGAACATCTAGAGATTATTGTTTTTAACTCTTTAACTTGGCGTTTTGAACTGTTCAAAGCATCTCTCATCTTTATCTCATTTGATCAGCTCAGCAATCCTGTGATATAGGCAAAGCAGACCTGACAGGTGAGGAAACTGAAACCCAGAGAGATTAGGGGACTTGCACAAGAATAGACGGGCATTTGGTGACTGATTCAAGGCTGGAACCTAGATCTTTGAGGGCAGTAGCCTTCAGAATAGGAATGAGATGGGAGAGAAGTATGTGTTGAATGAAGTAGGAGGGAAGCATTTTATTAAAAGATTAATCAAAATTCATCTGAAAGCCAAAGGGCCAAGAACAGTCCAAAGAAATCTGAAAAAGACTATGAAGAAGATGAATTTATACTGCAGACATCAAAGCACAGGATAAAACTGTGCAAGAGAAGTATAGGTGTAGAGAGACCCGTGGAATAAACTAGAAAGTCTAGAAAAAGACCCAGACATTTTGGAAAACTGTTACGTGATGGGGTGATTACAACTAAGTAGGGAAGGAATGGACTGTTTGATACACATTGTCACAGAAATTGGCTCTTCACATTGGAAAATTAACAGAGCTCAATTTCATATGCAAAATAACACAAAATATTGCAAATAAATTCCAGATAGATTAAAAGTTAAAGTAACAAATTATCTTTTAAACTATTCAAAGAATATTCAGGAAGATAGTTTTATAATATCTGATTAAGAAAAATTTTTAAGAACACAAAAGTAAAGAAAAAGATCAATACATCTGACTATGTTAAAATTTAAGACCAAATTTATAGTCTTGTAGGAACAAAGTCACCATAAACAAAACTAAAAGATAGGTAAGAGATTTGGAGGAGAAGTTTGCAATGCATGTGACCTAAGAAGGTTTAATCTCTGAAAATGTGTGTATATGGGATAGGGAGTCAGATGGGGACAACTATAAGTAAAAGACAAACAGCCCAACAGAAAAACAAATATAAAAGCAAACAGTTCACAGAAATGGAAATCAAAATGATCTACAAAAATATGAAAAGATGCCCTACCTCATTAATAATCAGGGAAATGCCCATTAAAAAGCAAATAGATAGCATTTCACACCTATTCAACTGTCAAAAATTGAAAGGTTCAGTAATGCCAAGTTTTTATGGGAAATGGGCACTGCCATCCTAGAGGAAGTGCACATTGTTTTTATCTCTTTAGAGGGCAATTTAGAAATACCTTGTAAAAGTAAGTATATATGTATCCTATGACAAACTAGTTTTATGTCTAAATATAATCCCTAGAAAAATTCTTACTCCTGTGTGTAATAGGACAGGTAAGAGGATGTTTATTATTGCATTATTTACAATATTGAAAATTGGAAAACAATTTAAATGTTCATCAATAGAGCAATGGGAAAACACTGTACAGGCACAGCAGTGAGTTCCCGTGAGCTAGACGCAGGCATCAAGAAAGATGATCTTGAAAAAATCCAAGGTCTGTGTAAAAAATCAAACCACATTAATATACCATTTACACACGTATTTAAAACATATAAAACAATGTTATCAATCAAATATGCATTCAGACATATGCATAATAAAAGCATAAAAACACAGAATGCATGCAAGTTCAAGAGAATGCTTTTTTGGAAGAAGGAGTAGAATAGGCTCACAGAGAGGATAAAAACGATGCGATTGTACCTATAGTGTTTTATTTCTTTAATTACAAATAAAAATAAAAAGAAATCAGAGAAATATTAGCATAATAATATTCTGGGCAGTGGATATTGAGAGTTTAATATGGTAAACAATTCAGAAAAGGAGAAAAGGAAAAGAAAAAGCTCCTCACCAGCAGCCTCACTTTCCTCTGGTGGAAATGAGAAGGCAGTGGGGAGCAGGAGGCTGCAGGAAAGCAGAGCTGACAGCTTTGAAAATTACTTGGCTGTGGATGTCTGCTCATGCACACACCCATACCAAGATAGTTCCACACACGATAGTAGTGGGATCATTCGTGGAAAGAGCAATGCTGAGCAAAGTCACCATGGACTACTGGGGGCCCAGCCAGCACCAGCTCTGCCGGGGCATTCCAGGACTAGCAATGGGGTTTAGAATAACAAATTGCTTAAATACGGTAGGAACATGTTTCTCTCAACTTAAAGGAAGTCCAGAGGTAGGCGGTAAGGGGCTAAGATGGTGGCTATGCCACATCCCCAGGACTCAAGCTCTTTCCACCTTTCTGTTCTGCCATTCCTAGTCACATGGGTTCCATCTCCAAAGTCACCTTAAGATCTGAGGTGACCACTGCAACTCCAAGCCATCCTGGTGAGACACAAGAAGAAGTGAAGGTGAGGAGGGCAAAATGGTCCCTACTGGCTGACTATACCCCTCTAAAACTTCTTTCCTGGAGCCCCTTAACTTGCATGGACATTTTTGGATCATCCCTAATGCCAAGGGAGGCTAGGAAATTGTATTAATTTGTTTTCACACTGCTATAAAGACATACTTGAGACTGCGTAATTTATAAACAAAGGAGGTTTAATTGACTCACAGTTCCGCATGGCTGGTGAGGCCTCAGGAAACTTACAATCATGGTGGAAGGGGAAGCAGGTATGTTGTACATGGCAGCAAGTGAGAGAGAGCGTGTGTCAGTGCAGGGAAAACTACCATTTATAAAACCATCAGATCTCATGAGAATTCACTATCACAAAAACAGCATGGGAGAAACTGCCCCCGTAATCCAATCACTTCCCTCACTCCACATGTAGGGATTACAATACAAGATTAGATGTGGGTGGGGACACAGAGCCAAGCCACATCAGAAATGTTTTCTTTAATTCAATCAGCAATGTGCCTAGCTAAAAAGTTAGCTATTGCTAAGGAAAAAGGGAGAATGGCTAGTTGGTTCGCAGCTAATAATGACTACCAGGGTTGGTGACTAATTGTGTGCCCACGGACAAGAGCTTTCTTCCTCTAAACATTGCTTTCCTGTCCATGCAAAAAAGAGGATAGGTGAGGTGCTGCTTTCCTCAATAGAGCCAATCACCTTTTCTCACCTTGTTCATTGCTTCAAACTTTAATCAAACTTCAATTTGAGACAATTATCTTGAAGCCTTTGTCTACTCATTCTCTCTCCCTGACTGCAGGGATTTGGGTCGTTGAAACTTTTTCTCCCTGCATAGTTTTGGTTCTATATCTATGTTGCACACTCACCTCTCTTTGGGAATTACAACTTCTCTTCCAGGTTTACCAACTGCTAGAAACACCCAGATTTTAACTTTCCAACTCACTTCTTCCAAGAAGCTCCCCCTGGTATGATGCCACCTCCTCTGAGACCACTTCATCCCACTGTCCCCTGTCAAGAGCATTTTTTTCACTCAGAGAATCAAAACTTTCGTTGAAGACAGACCTTATACCATCTGGCCTAGTGATTTGCAACTTGTTTTTTAGAGTCCTTTCTGCAAGTAAAAAAGTATATGAAACCCCAAGATGATGAATAAAATGAATAAAATGCAGAATGGGATGGGGCAGAGGAGCCCCAAGTCATTTCAGAACATAGTTAGAAAAGATAATATCTTGCCCTCATTTTATGAATAAAGACATTGCTGCCCAAAGATAGAATTCAATTGTTCATGTTTTGTAGCTCATAATAGCAACACCAATAATAACAACAGCATTAGCTAACACTTACCCTCTGTGTGAAATACTGGTGTGAGTGTTTTATGTATATTAATTAAACTTTGTGATAACCCAAAGTTGCATAGGTAGTCAATGAAAGACCCAGGATTTGAATGAGGCATTCTGACTCGAGAGACTGTGCCAGAAACCACTATTCTATAAGCATTTAAGCCACATGGCCTGAATAATTCTAGTCCTCTAACTCCTAGGCCTAAATTACCTTCTTTGATTTGCTTTATATTAGTTTTTTAGTTATGGATTCTAAACATGTTTCTTTAAATGTTTTTCTGTGACTTATATTTATTTTTTTGCTGCATACATTAGGCATTTAGTGAAGACTTATGATAAAATATTTGAGTTCAGTGGGCAAGGAACAACTGCTTTTCACTTGAAACTTTGATGAGATTTGACCTGGCTCATGAAGGCCGCTGCATAAAGATTAAATAGAAACATCAAGCCACATCCTTAATCACCTAAATGGAAGACTACATTCCTGCCAAATCATGTCTGCAAAGAGGAAAGGCAAGCATCTTGGGCAGTGTTCTGTGCATGGTCATCTTTTAAGTCAAGTCCTGGCAGGGTAGAAAGTAGTTGTACCTTGTTAGTGTCCTGTACTTCTTTCTCCACAGTGGTGGTATAGGAAGGGTGATCCAGGGACCAGGAAGGCAAGAATTGGGTGACTGTTTGCAAAGCCCAATTTTTCCATGTCCACCTTTCTATCTGGACAGTTGAACTCTGCAGGAGAAATCACAAATTCCCCAAATTAGTGCCTACTGTACATTCATGATCCCTTCCTCAACTCAGGTTATTCTTTATCATGTCCATAGTCACTCATCATCAACTCTGACAAGAAACAAGAAGTGCTGCTGCTGCTTCTCTGTTATCAGCAACACCATCCACCCTTGTGATCAAGCCAAAACTTGGTAGTCATCTTTTATTTTTTTCTCACTCTGTCACCCAGGCTGGAGTGCAGTGTTGCAATCTCGACTCATGGCAACCTCCACCTCCTGGGGTCAAGTGATTCTCCTGCCTCAGCCTCCCAAGTACCTGGGATCACAGGCATATGCCACCATGCCCAGCAAATTTTTTTTTTTTTTTTTTTTGAGACAGAGTGTCACTCTGTCGCCCAGGCTGGAGTGCAATGGTGCGGTCTCAGCTCACTGCAACCTCCGCCTCCTGGGTTCAAGAGATTCTCCTGCCTCAGCCTCCCAAGTAGGTGGGACTACAGGCACCCACCACCATACCTGGCTAATTTTTTTGTATTTTTAGTAAAGATGGGGTTTCACTATGTTGCCCAGGCTGGTCTCAAACTCCTGACCTCATGATTCACCTGCCTTGGCCTCCCAATCTTATTTGCTTTACAAGTCCTGCTTCAGGACTACCTTCCCTGACCACTGCTGCCTCCCTCCCAGCATTTGCCAGGGACTGTCATTGCCTTAGTTTTTTCTTTTTTCTTTTTTTTTTTTTTTTGAGACGGAGTCTCGCTCTGTTGCCCAGGCTGGAGTGCAGTGGCCAGATCTCAGCTCACTGCAAGCTCTGCCTGCAAAATTTTTTTTTTCAGTAGAGACAGGGTCTCACCATGTTGACCAGGCTGATCTCAAACTCCTGACCTCAGGTTCAGGGTCTTACCATGTTGGCCAGGCTGATCTCAAACTCCTGACCTCAGGTTGATCCGCCTGCCTCGGCCTCCCAAAGTGCTGGGATTACAGGCGTGAGCCACTGCGCCCAGCCTGGTAGTCATCTTTGACTCCTCTTTCTCCCTCCACACCATCATTGAGACAGTCACTATGCCCTGCTGTTCCTATCTCCTTCACCTCTCTTCAGTCTGTCCACTCCCCTCTGTTAGTCTACACTTTGTTTTGAGCCAGCACCTTCCAGCCCATTCTTGGTATAAGGAAACCTTATACACACACCCTTTCTTAATGGATCTCCGTAATATAAGTTTTGGGATAGAGTCAAAACTCATAAAATAGAAAGCCAAGTTGTTCAGTGTCTGCCCACTGCTTTCCTCCCAGCTTCATATTTCCTCACTGAGATACTGGATCCCCTAAATGGTGGATATCTGCATATGCTGCATCCTGTCTGATTCTCTCTCTCTCGTCCCTACCTCTCAGTCAATATTTGGCAAATGCATGAGTGAATTTGGATGCAGGAGGAGAAGAAAGAAAGGACAGACAGAGGAAGGAGGGATAAAAGTAACAATAACAACAACAACAAAAACCTGGGCATGTGGATGGAGGAAGAAAGTTTGTCCAAAGCAGAAAAATAGGAAATAAAAACAAAACAAAAACAAGCAAACAAAAAAAACACAATGGCCGGGGCCTCAAAGCCTTGTTTATAAGATCCTGGTGGCATATTTCTATTTTAAATTAAACTCTAGGACATAAATTTCACTTGACTGGTCCCCAGTCAGCACTATAGACCTCAAAATGCCACCCAGCCACCTGGTGATCCTACAAAGCAAGGTGAGGGGTTGAGCCTTGAGGACAGATCAGAGGAGTGGTGATTAAATCCAAGACTGAGTCTTGTTTCAACCTTGGGATTGTATCAATGTGCATTTCTACTGAGACAGGGTCCTCTTGCCTTCTTACTGAAGTGAGTCATTGCCTGTGTTAGCCCCCTTCTTTCCTAGTCCTCTCCATGACACCCTGGGAAAAATATACTTACTGATAACTTGGCTCCATTTTTTGAGGGATTTAGGTCAGTTAATATGTCATGGCACTTAAGAGAAGCCAGTTAAATTTGGGGCTGAACTGGTTAAATAATTAGTATCTGCAATGTAGCAGCCCAGAGCACAGAGAAAAGAGTGGAAAGAACACGGAATGCCTACGCCATGAGACAAAGTGCTGCTATCCCAGCACCTTGACAGGTCCCAGCTCCCAGGTCTGACCTGCTTGCTGAAATTTTGAAGACCACCCAAAGGCACTTTAGCAATTCATGTGAGCAAAGGCCTCACGAAGTTCCGTGTGGCAACACCAGTTTCCTGGGGGCAATTCTTCCTGCCTATTAATGTGATAATCTGTTTTCAAACCAGACAGTTTAAGTGAGAAAGAAGAATGAGAAGAGATGATTCCCATTACCAACGGCAACTTGATCCCTAATAGTAGTGGCAAATGTGAACAATTCTTAACACATTTAATTTCATTCAGTGCTCACAACCCTCCTATGAAAGAAGTATTATCCTTATTATACAAAAGGGTCTGAAATTCAGAGAAGTAACATTTCCAAGTGTGATGGTTAATATTAGGTGTCAACTTGATTGGATTGAAGGATAGCTGGTAAAGTATTGTTCCTGGGTGTGTCTGTGAGGATGCTGCCAGAGGAGATTGACATCTGAGTCAGTGGACTGGGAGAGGAAGACCCACTGTCAGTGTGGGTGGGCACCATCCAATTGGCTGCCAGAGTAGCTAGAACAAAGCAAGCAGAAGAAGGTAGGATAACCTTGGCTGGGTGCAGTGGCTCGCTCCTGTAATCCCAACACTTTGGGAGGCTGAGGCAGGCGAATCACTTGAGGTCAGGAGTTCGAGGCCAGCCTGGCAAACATGGTGAAACCCCATCTCTAGCAAAAATACAAAAATTAGCCAGGCATGGTGGCAGGTGCCTGTAAACCCAGCTACTCCAGAGGCTGAGGCAGGAGAATTGCTTGAACCCAGGAGGTAGAGGTTGCAGTGAGCCGAGATTGTGCCACTGCACTACAGCCTGGGCGACAAGAGCAAGACTCTGTCTCACAAAAAAAAAAAAAAAAAAACAAAGGAAGATGGGATAACTGCTTGCTGGGTCTTCTGGCTGCCTTCTTTCTCCCATGCTGGAGACTTCTTCCTACTCCTTCTGCCCTTGGACATTAGACTCCAGGTTCTTTGGTTTATGGACCCTGGAACTGGCACTAGTGGCTTGCCAGAGGCTCTCAGGCCTTTGGTCACAGACTGAAGTCTGCACTGTCAGGTTCCCTGGATTGAGGCTTTCTGACTCAGACTGAGCCACTACCAGCTTCTCTCTTCCCCAGCTTGTAGAGAGCCGATTGTGTGACTTTGCCTTGTAATAGTGTGAAGCCCATTCTCTCTAATAAACTCCCATGTATATGGGAGTGTCTATATGTGTGTGTATAAATACACACACAGACTAGCTGATGACAGAGGCAGAAAGTGATTGCTGGACTTCTTAGTTCCCAATTTGGCTCTTTCCTCACTATACTGCTTCATGGACTCTTGCAAGCATGAACCTAATAGACACAGTCATTCAACAGTTAATTCAACAACTGTGTATTGATCCCCTCCCAGGCACCAGGCACTGTGTTAGGCCAGTGAGGATACAGCAGGTTCAAAACAGAAAACGCTTCTTATCCTGTGTGGGGGTCATATTCTATTGAAGAGACAGACATACAATCTTTCAAGCAGAGGGCAATACACCCTATGTCCTCTGCAAAATAATAAAACAAGGCAAGGGAAACAGAGAGCAGTGGGGCAAGAGAATAGATTTTGTTTTTCAAAGGTGGCCAGACAAGGCCTCTCTGTTGACACCTGGCTTTGAACTTTCCAACAAAATCCATTCCAACCTTGATGTATGCCTTGCTTGTACCCACACTGCAGCAGGAGGCTGACAATGAGCACATTAGAGACAAAGAACAACCAGTAGGCATGGTGTTCCCATTGAGAAGGGAGGATTCAAAAGTAAGCCCCAAAACTGCCACAGTCTTGCCATGGGGCAATTTCACAAGTAGAATGGGGTGGCCACTAACTAGCTTGGCAAGCAGAGAGGATTTTTTCGTGACGAATCTGTCCCCAGCGAAAATGGCCCAATGACTCAGGAGCTTAAGGAAGCTGTCCTTGCTATCTGATTCTGCCTATGAATGCCTTCTGAATACCTTCTATCAGAAATATAATAGCTGGATAATTGCAGGAGGAGAGCAAGGGGAAAGCCTTTAGACATGCTTCAAGATTTCATTGAAAATGTTTCGTTCATAGACTTAGGAGGTTACGTTTCTGGGAAAGCCACTAAAAGTAAAATAAGAGGAAGACTCTGATCATGCCTTAGAAACAATATGGAAGTTCATTCCCATCTAAGGACCAGAAAAAAAAAAAAAACTTTAAAAACAGAAAGTGACAAATATAACCTATTTCATAACTATAATGCAATATATCTTTACATCGTGTAGTGTAAGTTTTTAAAAAAGATTTAGCAATCAAATAAATCAACAACAAAGAAAACAATTTCCCAGGTACATTACTTCCCGGGAACATATTTCTGTATTTTACTACTGAAATCACCCCCAGAAGAGTTATGTGAGGCTGAGAGCTGAAGAAGAAGTACCTGACAGGGTCAGTGCCTGAAGCTGGGAAATAAGAATGCAGAACAGACAGGGAAGGGCAGCGAGAAGCTGCCAGATGCCCGGAGCCAGGAAGTTTTGTGCCCAGGGTGACAGGAAGCAGCCTGGTTGGTTGGTGTCGCTTGCCGTTTGCTGCAACGCCGTAAGTTCTACGACAGATGAAATTGGCAGGAATCAAGCAAGAAGCTCACACTCCCTCTGTATCTTCACCTCTCCCTCCCATCTCCACTCTGCTCCTGGAGACTCTCAGATCTGCTCTGAAGTTAACCTCCATCTCAGCTCAGGATTCATCTCCTCCTGTCTCCTAATTAGGCTCCTTCTCCCTCAGCTAGTCTCTCCCTTTCAATTAGAGTCTTCCTCCCATTTTAAGGGAAAGAAAAAAAGAGAGAGAGAACTTTCCTTGGTCCTGCTTTCCCCTCCAAGCTGGCATTCCATCTCTCTACTTTCCTTAATTGCCAGATTGTAAAGAAAGGTTTCCGCACTCACTGTCTCTCCTTCCTCCTCTCCACCTTCTTTAACACCCACAGTCAGCTCGCTGTTCCCACAACTCCACAGAAACTTCTCTAACTGCTGAGAAGTTAGAGAATGTGACAACTTGTTTAAGCCTTCAGCCTCGGCAGTTCTGTCACTGTAACCATTACTTGGACCCAGCGCCTTAAAAGTTTTGCCTCATTTGGCCTGCATGACTCTGTCCCCCTTGTCTTCTCTAAAGCCTTCTCGTCTTCTTCCCAGTCCCAAACACCAACACCACCACCTTAATTTTTCACTGGTGGAGAAGAGACGAGAATCAGCAAACTCCCCGGTTGTTTTCGGGTCACACACCCTTTTGAGACTCTGATGGCAATTTTAGAGTCTCCCCAAAATGTCATTTTATTGATACATATTCATATACACACATATGTATATACATATGTAAACATTATCTCAAAAGATCCCTAAATTAAGAAGAGCCTCCGTCACAGAAAATAGCTGTTTTTACAAAATGTGGCTATGATATCATGTGGCTGATCCATACTACACTTAAACCACACATTTCTGGTGAGTCCTTGACTTTCAGAGGTGCTATATTAGAGTAAAACATTTTATCAGAAAGCTGATCCTAGGATTCTCATGCAGTTTTTACACCCTAAAGGCTGTATGATCTTGGGCAATTCACATCTCTAAAACAAAGTTATCTCCTCTATAAAAATGGGTATTATAATTTCTTCTCTGCCTCCCGAGTTTGTTGTAAAGATTAAATAAGATCAGGAATTTGAAATATTTTGTAAACTTCTAAGTATTACAGAAATGATCACTATCAAAATCATTGATCAGTATCCTTGGAGCTGCAGTGTGTTGGGGAAGAGGAGCCAGGAGGTTGTCGACATTGGGTTTTAATCCCATCTTGGACACCATATTGTGATTTGATCCATGTTCCAGTTTGTAGACCAGAGATGATCACAGGTCTCCTAGCTACCTCGTAGAGCTAGTCTGAGTATCAAATGAAATAATGAATGTGGAGGGACTTTACAACTCAGCAAGACTGGGACGCCTGCCATTTCTCATCCTCTTCTTTGTCCCTCTCCATGTGCATTAATTGAACTCTGTGAGCCAAACAGAGTGAGCCTGCTCTCACAAGAGTCCCACCGTGCCTGATGATGGAGCATTCCTACAAAATAATTCTAGAGTCAAATTAGACTCCCGTGAGTTAATCATGGATAATGTAATTATAAGAAGCAGCAAATAAATTGATAATAATTGGCTACTTATTGTTTTTTCAAAGAGGGCATGGAGAGAAAGAATACAGTGTACAAGAAAGATTATCCTTTGTAGAAATAGTCACTCCTCCTGGTCACTTGGCCTATATTGGAACCCACCCCAAGGAGTGCTGGTGTCTCTCTGGCATGCTGGGTTGCTATAAAATACTTTCTTGAAATCCCTGACTTGAAATCCTGCCCTTATCCTGATGCATGAGTGTTAGTAACCTCTAGCAGGTTTCCAGTTCCTCAAGAAAGAGCATGGTGGCCAGAACCATTGCACATTCCTTGTTCCCAGTCCCTTCTTTGCTTCACTGCACCCAACCAAGGTTCAGAATATAAAGGTCAGGTGCAGATGCAAACAGACCAGCAAAGTTAAAGTCAACCCATCTCTCCCTTTTCACCAGGTTCTATCTGGTTTTGGGAAGAGACGGGATTTTCATAGCACTGTGAGAAGGAAGGGATCAGCTATTGTCTTGTGAGAACAAGCCTGGTCACTGTCAGATAACATAGCAAAAAGTATTTCTCAAAAGGACCTCCTTTGCAGGGGTGAGGAAAGACAAGTGTCTGGGGCTCCACATACAAGGGCAGGAAAAAAGGAAATGGGAGAGAAGCTAACATTACTGAGCTAAGGACATTACCTGTATTATTTCATTCAGTTCACTCAACAGTGACCTCTAGTATGTGTGTATTATCCCGTTTTACCAGCAAAGAACCTGAGGATCAAAAAGACTACAACTTGCCCAAGGTCACACAGAGAATAATGAACAGAGAAGACTTCAAATGCCAGACTGTTTTCACTCTGGCAAACTGGCTCACCAAAGGTGAGGACAGCCAGGAAAAGAGTGATTCTCTACTTGTGTCCTGTCCATGAACACTCCCCTTTAAGGGACCTGTGATTATGATGAGGGCCAAAACTATGAGTGAGTCAGAGCCAATCTGAGACTTGAGTCACCCACTTGCCAGCTTTGTGAACTGAGTCCTTAAAACATAGCAATAAAGCGAACATAATAGTATCTCTCTGGAAAATGTGTAAGTTGCTATGTAGTTCCAATGCAATGTTTTTTGTAATTGTTTCATCTCCCACCTACATAAGGCTGCATTGTCAGGTAGAGAAGTGTCATTGTCTCTATTGAATGGGGTGCAGGTGAAGGGCATGTCCCTGCAAAGATGCAGAAGAGCAAGGGCCATAGAGGTGCCGGGACACTGGGCAAGGATAAAGTTGGTTTTAGAGTACCCAGAACACAGCCAACATCCGATAATGAATTACCCAGTCAGAGCAGGACTGGCAGTGACAAGGGATTCCTGAAAGGTTGCTCAACACCTCCCCAGGATCAGAGTGATCCAAGAGTCTTGGGCAGAGTTACCATCATCCCATGGTGGGGCAAGTGACCTCTGCACTGGGGGAAAAAAAATTATGAAGGAGGAAGCCCGCAAGTCTTGGCTAGAACAAGAACATCATGGGACATGAGCTCCAACTCTGATTTCTTCCTCTTATCCTTGGATGTGATATCCTGGTTTTATGGCTCTTGAGAAAAGCATAAGCTCCTAGAGGTAATGGATTCTATAGTAAATGTTATTGGATATTTCACAGGGCTTAGAGGAGCGTAGAACTCAAATAAATGGTCCCTAAAGGCGGGATTCCGTGGCATCTGTCTGTGAGTTCCCATAGTTAACTTTTCCCATAGTGACTTTAGTATGGGGCAGAAGATGCTGGAAGACTTGTGAAACAGGCAGATTCCCAAATTCCACCATGAGAGATTCAGATATGGGAAGGTTAGGGGTGGGGTTGTTTAACAAACTCACTAGTTGTTTCCATATGCAGTTGATCCTTGGGGGAAAATCTTTGAGAAACTCTCTGATAGTCTATTTTTTCACATATCATCTTGTACTAAAGTTAGTTGTTTAGAGATTAAGCTGCCTCCATGAAAACATAAGCTCCTCCAGGTCAGGGTCTATGCATCTCATCCCGGTACCCCAGAGCCTAGCAGAGCACCTGGCATGCTGTAGGTGTTTGGTTGGACTCAGCAGAATTGGGAGATCATAAAATACATCTCATTTCCATAGGAATAGTTCCATGTCTAGGATTTGTGTTGTGGACAAGGGTCACTGTATCCTCATATATCATGAATATGGGTAACAATATTGCACCATGAGATGCTAGAGTGATCAAGCTGAAAAGTACCCTAATTCATTATTTAACATTCATAAAGCAAAAGAACAGCTCTGGACCTCTGCAGTCACTGGGAATGGTAAGATTATGCTCCAAGAAACATTCTGTGACAGCGCATCTAGTCAATGTAATAAAGTTTACCTTACAGTCACTTTGTAGATAGGAGAACTGAAACATAAAGAAGTTAACTGACACATTCAATGTTGCATCATGAATCAACATCAGACCCAGAATTCAGACCCAGGACCCTGGATTTTCTAGGTGGTGCTTCTTCCAAACCACAAGATTCTGATAAGGACCTGTGTGTCCTATGTGTCCTATTTCTGGGATTTTTTTTAAAGAATGATCAATAAAATATTTCCTTTCGTAATGCTTCTACTGCTTGCTACAGGGAAATTTGTCACAAGAAGAAGGAATCATTTTAAAGTTCCATGGGCAGCTCTTTCCAGAGATGTGGTCCATGGAAAGTCTTTCCCAGAGCCCGTTGGAATTCTAAAAAGGAAATAAAGTGAGAGTTAATTAAATGTGTAATTGATGTTGATTGTGGCAAGCATGGTTCTTTTAGGTCAGATTGATGATACAGGGGAGTGCTAGTGTTTGTGAGTGTTGTATGTTTTTAGGATTTTAGGGCCCTTGTCTAAGCCCTGGGATTTTTACTTAGAGGCAGGCTTTGTGAGATTAGGGAACAGGCTATGGTGGGCTTCAGGGAACAAGCTCTACAAGGGGTCTCTCCACGTTATGTACATTAACCAAAATGGGGTCATCCCACGCTCTGCACTTACTGAGCAAGTTTCCCTTCAGCACTGCCACATCCCTCCCCAGCCAAATGCTTAATAAATCACACCAACCTGACCAACTCAATGTCTGGTTCTTATTTTTCCTCCTTCCCTTTTCTGTGTGCCATTGTAACCCTCCTGTCTTAATGCTTTTCTGCCTCTTCAGGAATTTTGACTACTCCATTAAGCTTTAGTCTCGTCAAAACACATTCCTATTAGTCAGTTCTCAGACACAATCTCTACTTTTTCACCTTATGCAAAGTTCCATATACTCTTTCTTGGCAACTGCAGTTAAAATGCTAAATTACAGAGGTGGGCAGACTCTATTGATAGTAAAGAGACTGGTGCCCCTCTCTTCTTGCCTACCTTTGCTAATGACTTGAAAATAAATCTCTCCAGTACCTCACCTGCTGATCTGCTGTGGCTTAATCAGCCTAGTAGATTCAGAGTAATTTTCCCCATCAAAGACCGTGTTCTCATGATGCTTCCCATACCACTGGAATTAGGTAAGACAGAGAGAAGTCTACCTATTTTGCAGGTTCTGAAGCTCAGGATCAAGGATTCAGCTGACTTACCCAAAGTTAGTAATAGAGCCCCTTCCAGAACCATCGCTTCCTGTCTCCTGGTCTAATGGTCATAAGTCCTTATTTCTCTCTGATCTTGCTCTTGCTGTGGCTAAAGTGCACACACAAGGGTGACTGATGTGTCCTCAGTAAGATGGAAGGGAAGGAGGAGGGAATCTTTGTTTTCATCTCCTGGAATGTTCCAATAGTTCCAGCTGTGGCTACAGTTCATGACTGCGGGGATTTTTTGCTTGTTTATTTTCTTTTGAAAGATTCTATCTAGATTCCAGCAAACTTTCCAGCAAACAATACTTTGAGGCAGCTGGAAAAGGGAGGGCTCTTCCTTCCCTGTCATATGTCCTTAAAATAACACAACAGGGGAGGAAAGCCCACAGGGTCCCCTTAAGGTACCAAAGATAGCATAATGAATTTGCTAATCATAAACGTTTTGCTCCTGAGTTCCAAGTGATATGGTAATGAATTGCCAGCGAGCCATTTGCCAGACCGCAGCCATATGGTAAGGGATGGGACCCTGGTACATAGTAGCCATACTGTGGGTTTTTCTGCATAACTGTTCCCATCCAGAACCTTCCCATCTCTATGGCTGCTAATTAACATCCTGTTTAAGCTTCTGTTGTCAAAACAAGTCATTTGTTTGCCTTATGCAGATAAGTCTTTCTCTTATCTGGTCAGTAATAGTGACCATTAAGAAATGAAAATGTGTTTGAATCCACATAAAAATATTTGAGTTACACATCTTGCATTACCCAGTGGGTACCTGGGTCTAGCAGCACTAGCCTGTGGAAGCAACTCAATCTAGGAACTTATTAAAACCAACAAATTATCATCTTCCCCTACAGAAACACAAATGAGGATTCAGTTCATTAATTTCCCCATTGTTCTTCCTTTCTGCGGACATTACTCTAGTTGGAACTCTAGCTATAAAATGTGGATTTTATTATAATAGCGATGATAATAAAAATAATTAGGAGAAGAAGGAGATTCATTTATCAGAACAAGTCACCCTTTCAAATACGCACTCCCTCTTGATTTGATGAGATGGTGAGATTTGGGAAAGAATCCACTGCTTCCTTGCTGCTTTTGTTGGTTTCCTTAGCAGTTACCCAATGGGGCTAGAAAGAAAGAGAGTTAGGAAAGGAAAAATAAAAGCGAAGTGACTCTAGGATCAAAGGGAAATGAGAACCTATGATGAGTAAACAGCAAAGCAAATCAGAAAGAAACAATTTTATGAGGGATTCAGAAGCACAGCAGGCTAGGGAGAGGCTGTTTGGACAGTCCAGGGTGTGTCCAGTGTCTTACACACCTCACCACCACCACCAGCAAGGGCAGATGGGGAGGTGGGGCAGGGATTGTCCCTCTGTCCCCCATGCCCTCTGCCGCATCCTTGTGACAGCCTTTGACAGCCTTTTTCCACTAAGACTGCCTGCTATCCATGTAAATGCATTTTCCTTTCATAACGACATTGAAGAATATGGGAAAATGGAGGCAAAAAAGACAGAAGATGGAGGGGGTGAGGAAACCCACAGAGTAATATTCCCTGAGGATACTCCTGGGTCCCTCGCTTCCTATAGAACCCAGTAGGAACAATCACTCTCTTTCACAACTTTCTGAGTTTTCCCTGCATCCACATACCTCACCCCAGAAACAGCCAATGTGCTAATTGCAAGGTCAGGCCAGTGTCTTACATGGCATCTGGGACGTGGTATAATGCAAACAGATTTCCATATGTGGTCCCTTCCAGTAGTCCTCGGCCCCCCGAGCACCCACACCACGTGAGAACTCGGCTTCTCAGGAGACGTTGACATTTTAATTGGAAGCATCTGTTGCCTTTTCTGTTATTTTTGGCCAGGTTTGGTTTATTTGTATGAGCCGATGTTTGTGTACAGACCCGCCTACATGTTTCACAAAGCCGAGCCTTGCCTCCTCTCTCATTTTCCTCTCAAGTAGCTGACTGGGATGTGTGATGGGGCCACTTGCCTTCACCCTGTCCATTCTGATGTGGATTTCTCTCTGCAGAATTAAGGTAGGGAGGGGCCAAGCTGAAAACAGAAAAGCACCTTCTTGAAAAAGATGTTCTGAGAGAGGGAGGCTCACTGCTTCCTGCAAAGTGTCTGCTAGCCTCCCAGCAGGAGATTCTGCTTCCAGCTTCAAGGCTACAGCCAGCTTTGAGGCTGCAGGGGGACCTCGAAGGTGTCAGGTCCAGTCCTGTACCCTCCCAGCTCTGACTCACACACTAACTGAGGTCCTGTCCTCAAGTCTCCCAGGAGTCCTGCTCCCAGCAGCCTTTGAGACCTGCCCTTCACTTTATCCTCACTTAGAAAACCCATCCTTCTTCTTCCCATCAAACCCAACCGCCTCCACAGACCCTTCCTCTAGTTGTCCAGTTAGCCTGATCATACACCAGCAGAGCGACTATCCATCAGTAATCCAGTGGCAACTGGGTGTTTGCTGAATTCTGAGCTGTAGTGGGTTGAATTGTGCCCTTTCAAAAGAAAAATAGCTCTACACAGAACCTTGGAATGTGAATTTATTTGGAATAAGGACTTTTGCAGACAAGTTAAGGCTCTCCAAATGAAATCATCCTAGATAGGGTGGACCCAAAAATCCAATAATGGAAGAGACAGAAAAAGACATGACAGAGAGAGAAAAAGGGCATGTGAAGACAGAGGCAGAGATTGGAGTGATGCTACCACAAGCCAAGGAATGCCAGGAGCCACCAGAAGCCAGAAGTGGCCAGAATATTTTTTCTCTAGTGCCTCCAGAGGGAGCATGGCCCTGCCAACACCTTATTGTGGATTTCTAGCTTCAGAACTGTGAAAGAATGAATTTCTCTTGTGCCGAAGCACTGAGATTATTGGTAATTTGTCACAGCAGTCCTAAGAAACTGATATTCAAGCCCTGGGCTAGGGTACCATGGTGTACAAAATCCTAGGAATCAACAGGAACTGGAATCTGTCTGGACATAAAGTGAAAGGACCTGACTTTCCTCCCCTGAGGGGAACCTGACTTACCCCCTCCTCAAGGGGATATCACCACTCAACAGCTATATCTCCTCGAGGGGGTCACTTGAGCTCCCTGGTTTCACTGTCCTTTCCTATACATTGAAGGAGATGGACAGGACAAGGTCTATGAATCCCTGCAGCTCCAGTGTTGTCTTTTTTGTGTAAGAAAGGGAGATTATAACTACACAAGGTGATGACATCATAACCCCGGGTCCCCACTGTGAGATGCACACTGAAATGAGCACTACAGACCCTAGGAGGGGAGGGTTCAACTAGAGTCAGGGAAGGTCCTAGGGGAGGTGGTCTGTGAACTCAAGGGCAGGTTGCTAAAGAGGAGGAGTTGGGAGAGCATTGATGGCCGGGCAGAGAAATCAATGTGCAGAGGTCAGATGAGAGAGTGACAAGGAGGAAACTAGTCAGGCTGGAGCAGAGAGGACTGCAGGAGCACCATGTCCATATTCACCCAGAAATCAGTCTTTGGTAACCTCTGCCCCATAGCCAGGGTCTAGCATCGAGGGAAGTGCTTTCCTCCATAGAAGAGACCAGGCTCACCCTCAGGTTACACACATCCACATTAAATAAATACGGATTGAACACTCGCTGTCACCTTGCAGTCCTGGGCACTAAAGAGTGTCCTTAGTGGGCATACAATCTGATGGTAGAGGCAGCCTATTGAGCATGTAACTGTATTCAGCGAGATAGGTATTTTAGGCAGAAAAATGTACAGAGGAGCTTCTGCTGCTGTGTGGGGAGCTGGGACATCTTCCTGGAGGAAGGGACTTTTAAGCTACTTGAGAAATGAATAAAATTGGCCAGTTGACAGGAATGGTGAGAGTGTCCCTGTAACTCTCTCTCATGTAAGTCCCATCAGACTCTCTTTGCTTACTGCAAAGTAAAATAAGGAAGCAGAACCATATAACAGGAATAAATAGGAACCGTGAGAAAAAGGTAAGAAGAACCAACTAGAAAAACATGGCAATCTGGGGGAATCTGGCACTGGGGCAAATATCCCTATATAAACAAGAGCCTGCCAGGTACCACTCCAATCCTGTAATGCAAGCTTAAAATAGATTCCATGTACTCTGCTTATCTCAAAGGTAAGAAAGACTGGAATACTTAGAAACTATCATCCAACATGCTCAACAGAGGCATCTCAGCACTCTGAAAAACTGCTTTGCGTAGATCTCATGTTCCAGCTGGGGCTGACCTCCTGAGTCTTTCCTGTGTTGACTTGTTTACAGACCGGTCTTCACTTGGGTTCTTGATGTGACTCTTCTCTTCCTCTCTTAGTCTTTGGAAGAGGACAGGGCCTTTGATATGATTTGGTTGTGTCCCCATCCAAATCTCATCTTGAATTCCCGTGTGTTGTGGGAGGGAACCCAGTGGGAGATCACTGAATCATGAGAGCAGGTCTTTCCCATGCTGTTCTTGTGATAGTGAGTAAGTCTCACAAGATCTGATGGTTTTAAAAAGGGGAGTTTCTCTGAGCAAGCTCTCTTCTCTTGTCTGCCACCATGTGAGATGTGCCTTTCACCTTCTGCCATGATCATGAGGCTTCCTTAGCCACGTGGAACTGTAAGTCCATTGAACCTTTTTCTTATGTAAATTACCCAGTCTCAGGAATGTCTTTATCATCAGCGTGAAAATGGACTAATACAGCCTCATCTTGTCTTTGCTTGCCAGCCCACTCGTGGGTGCTCAACTCTACAAGATGTTTCTGTAGGATGGCCAGTATCCTTTAGATGGGTCACCTCCAACCTTCTGGAATCCCTCCATTCTGATGGGCCATTGGAAGTTGTCTGACACTGGCCCAGTCCCTCAACTCGACTTTATCAAAGGCCTACTAGGTTCAAGGCATCTTGCACGTACAAAAATGCCTGCTCCAGGGAATTAACAATCTGATCCTGCAAATGAGACAAAAATATGTAAACATGTAAACAGCATTACAAATTATCAAGATATTGGGGGCTGATAGATGACCTTTGAGTTGATTTCATGGATAACAATGCCAGCATCCCGCAAACCTTCAGATCCATCTAAGGCAAAATGTTAGGATAGAGGACCCATGGCCCTGAACTCAGGGACTTCAGATGGTCATGACTGT